CAGCTGCCACCCCACCGCAGGGTCGGCCGGACAGGCTGTGAATCTCCCCGGAGCGGTTGGACCAGGCTGTAAGCTGCGGCCATTTCCCTGACGCGTAAGCTGCCGCTGTCCGAGGAGCAGATCCGTGTCCCGCCGCGCCGCCCCGGCAGCGGGGAGGCAGGGTGAGGGCAGGCACGCAGTGAGCGCTCCAGTGGCCTTGGCTTAATCTGCGGCAGCTGGAGGCAGCGCCGAGGCTGCGGGAAGAGGCGACTGCCAGGGCTGGCTCTCCACGGGGCTGCAGGGTGTTTGTGTTTACCCCTTGCAGCCTCCGAGATAAAGGTTTCTCTCTGTTTTTGCTTCTGCCAATTGCTGTTAGGAGTAGCCGTGTGCCCTCCACGCGAAGAGCAGAAAGCCCCGGGGCAGTGTGCCCCGATACCACCCCCGAGACCCCCCGTCCCCTCGCTCCGGTGGATCGGCTCCCCTGGACAGACACACGTCCAACTGCTCTCCGGCACGTGGGGCGTCCCTCGTCCTCCTGCCTGGCGGGATCCTTTGCCGGGTTATCCTTATAAATCAGAGTCTTTCCTGCTGTCTAAGCCACATCCCCTGACTGCAGCTTAATCCTGGGATTTCTTACCCAGCCTGCAGCGACAGGAGGAACATTATTCCCTTTGTCTCTGCCGCAGCCATGTTTTGAAACCTGTTGCCATGTCTCCCCTCGGCCTCCCCTGTTTCTTCATCCTGTGCTCCAGAGCCCACGTGTTCGAGTCTCTTATCTGAGTCTTCTTGTTACTGTCTGGGTGCCTTCCTCGTGAGCTGTGTCCTCGTGGGGCTGGCCTTGAGGAGGCCTTGCTGCCGCGGGGGGGAAGGACGGTTCCTGCGTCGCAGCGACGCGTTCCCCTTGCGAGGCGTTCGCTCTTTCTGCAGCTCTCTGGGCCCGACTCGCATCCGCCTGGTGATTCATTGCAACCCGCCGATCCTCTGCCGCGGAGCCGTTGTCCTTCCTCGGCTTGTACGTACGTGGGGAATTGCTCCAGCCTTGGGGCGGTGCTCTCCTTGCCAGGCTGCATCCCGCAGTCTCAGATGTCTCTCCCAGCGAACTGGAATCCTTCTGAACTTTCTTCTGTCCTGGCTGGGGATCAAAAAATGATACGCCAACAAACGGAGCGTAAAAGGCCGAGAAGCGTTGCGGTTTGCCCAAGGGGTGCGAGGCTGGGGTTCGAAGGGGCGGCGGCACGGGGATTTTGTGCGCAGCGCGGGGCTCAGGAGAAGTGAGTTCCCATCTGTTTCTCTGCTACGTGTCTCTGACCGCTTCGTCTGCATGCCCGGGTCACGGTGCTAATGCTGCTTCTCCTTGCTCTCTTGCAGACTCTGCCATATTCCCCACCATGGGTGACATGAAAACTCCAGATTTCGATGACCTTCTGGCAGCTTTTGATATTCCTGACATCGACACGAATGAGGCCATCCATTCTGGCCACGAGGAAGCTGATGCTCACATCAAGCAAGTCCCTGGGGAGTCGGGACCCCCTGACCACGTCCTCCCCCACACGGACATCACCGCTGTCAGCGTGATTGTGAAGAACACGGTCTGCCCCGAGCAGCTCGATGCCCTGGATGGGCGCAGTAAAGATGGGCACGTCATTGGGCCTCGCTTGCTGCAGAATGGCTTTGGGGCCACCGAGATGCCCAGGTCCCCCACCTCCAGGTCCGTGGAAGCTGTGGCATCCTCCAATGGGGAGTGTTGGGTGAAGGAAAAAGGCCCCAAACCCTTGGATATCTTCTCCCATTTTAGCCCCGATCCCAACGAAGACAATGCTGCCAACCTGATTGACAGACCCCGGGAGTGTAAGCCGAAAGAGAAATCCCTTGCTGTGCCCTCCCTCTCACCGTCTCCCACCCCGTCGCTGGACTGCAAGGAGCCCATGGGAGAGAGCACGGAGAACCTGACCCCGACTTTCCCGCAGTCCTTCGAAACAAGCCAGGCAGGGGGTGCAAACGGGTCCCCTCCTACCATCCCCTGCATCAAAAAAGAGGAGTCTGACTCGGAGGAGGTGGGCCGCAACGCCAGCCCGAAGGGTCTGGCTGCAGCCCTGGGTGACAGTCCCTTGGATCACCTGAAGTCGGTCACCGTTCGCTACTCCACGGATGATTCCCCCATCACGTCCTGGCCCGGTTCTGACCCCAACCTCGACAGCAGCGCCAGCAACCTTCCCGAAGTGAAACGTTCTCCCGCCAGCCCCCGGGAGCCGTTCTTCAAGCCTTCCTCACCAGTGGTACAAAGCCCCAGACTCCCCACTTCTCCAAAGCAGCTGGACAACATCGCCCTCAAGGAAGAGCAAGAAGTTCTGGACAAGTCAATGGGAAGTCCTCAGAGTATGTCCAGCGCCGAGGAAGAGGAGGAGGAAGAAGACACCAACAATGATTCCCCTTCTTCCAACTCCTCACGGCCCCTGAAAGTACGGATTAAAACCATCAAAACATCTTGCGGCAGCATCACCCGGACAGTGACCAGGGTCTCATCAGATTCAGAGCCGGGCTCCACCAAGGGACTGGCCGAGCAGAGCTCTCAGGAGACCTCTCTTGAGGGTTCCAGCTTCTCAGCATCAGCAGATAAAGAGGAGGGGATCGCACTGGAGGTGCCCAAGGAGAAAATGGAGCTTTCCAGCCCCTTGAAAACCATTGAGGGGGCAAAAATCGTCAGTGTTCAGCTTGGCAACGGCACCAAGCTCAAAGGGACCGTCCTGCCCGTCTCCACCATCCAGAATGCCAGCAGTGCCATGCTGATCGCTGCCAGCGTGGCTCAGCAAAAATCTGTGGTGCTGCCGGCAAAGACGGGTAAAGCCGTGGCCAAGAACATCATCAACCTGGTGCCACAGACCCTGCCCAAAGCCGACACCAGGACCAGCATCAGTACCATGACACAGACCACCACCATCACCACCACGGCCAACCAGAAAGTCAACGGCACCACAGTTGTGATGGTGCAGCCGCAGAAGCCTTCCCCTACCATCGCGGGCACGGTCATTTCCAGGAGCCAATCCAGCCTCGTGGAAGCCTTTAACAAGATCCTCAACAGCAAAAACCTCTTGCCAACATACAAACCCAACCTGAATCCTCCGGCCGACGCGAGCCTCACCCTGCCTCCCTTCGGTTACCGCTGCCTGGAGTGCGGGGACGCCTTCGCCCTGGAGAAGAGCTTGGCTCGCCACTACGACGGGACTTGACCACTATGACCGGCGAAGCATGCGCATTGAGGTAACCTGCAACCACTGCACCAAACGCCTCGTCTTCTTCAACAAGTGCAGTTTGCTCCTGCACGCCCGGGAGCACAAGGACAAAGGCCTGGTGATGCAGTGCTCCCATTTGGTCATGAGGCCGATTGCTTTGGATCAAATGATCGGGCAGCCGGACATCACCCCCCTGGTCTCGGTGACGTCCTTCCCCGCTAGCAAAGTGACTGGTGTGGCTCAGGACGCCTTGGCCACGGCCAACGGGGCTCAGGACCTCCCCATCCTGCCTCTGAGCAACAGCTCGGAGCAGACCAACTACAGCTGCTTCAGGTGCCTGGAGTGCAAGGAGCAATGCAAAGACAAAGCCGGGCTGGCCGCGCATTTCCAGCAGGCAGTGACCACGGGGACCACCAGCAGCACGGTATGTAGGTGGGAGGGCAGTGGGAGTTGGACGTTAGAGCCGCGGTGAACCATCCCTGGGGATGTGGGGCAGAAGTGGAGGGCACTCCAAATGTGATCGAGGCAGCGCCTGCCTGTGCACGCCCGATTGCTCCCGACGTAAAACTCACGCAGGAAGGAAAGAGCGTGAGCCGGGGTTCGGTTCGTGCCCACGGGGCACTGGGTGGAGGCAAGGCAGGCTGTTGTCGGCGGGTGATAAAGGCGCCCC